GGGAGCTTAACAAGATCACGGTAAAAGAACCGTTTACCCACTTCCTTTAGTACCAGAACTGTTTCAGCGACTCAGGACTGCATCTGTTTTTACGAAGTTGGATTTGAGGAGGGGCTTACAATCTGGTCCGTATTCGGGAGGGAGATGAGTGGAAGACTGCCTTTCGTACTAGGTTCGGGCACTTTGAGTACCCTGGTAATGCCCTTTCGGTCTGTGTAATGCCCCCGCCACCTTCCAGCACTTCATTAACGATGTGTTCAGGGACTACTTCTTGGATTTTTTTCGTGGTCATCTATCTTGATGATATCTTAATTTTTTCTGCATCGCTGGAGGAGCATAGGGGTCACGTCAGGGTAGTGCTGGAAAGGCTCCGTTTGCATGGGTTATACGCAAAGGCAGATAAATGCAGTTTTGAGCAGCACAGTATCCCCTTCTTGGGCTTAATTATTTCTACTACTGGAATAGCGATGGATCCACAGAAGATCTCCGCAGTTCTGGAATGGCCGGTGCCGTTAGATAAAAAAGGGGTTCAGCGGTTCATTGGCTTTGCTAATTTTTACCGGAAATTCATTAGGAACTTTTCAGGCCTAGTATCCCCCATCACGCAACTTACCAAGCAGGGAGTGCGTTTCCCAAGTGGACATCTGAGGCGCAGGAAGCCTTTGAGTCCCTAAAGAGAGTTTTTTCACCGAGGGTTTCACCCAGTACTGAGCCCATCCTGACTCTCATTTCATTACCCTACACCTTGGACTGGGTGGATGCTTCCGAATACGCGGTTGGGGCTGTGCTTTCCCAAAGGAAGGGCATCAAGGAACTGATGCATCCCGTGGCATTTTTCTCCAGGAAACTATCTTTCGGCCGAGAAGAACTATGACATAGGGGACCGAGACTCTCCTGGCCATCAAGGCAGCATTGGAGGAGTGGAGGTACTTGCTGGAAGGAGCCGTGCACCCGATATTAATTTTTACGGATATCACAAGAACCTTTGAATATTTAAGAACGGCGAAGCGCTTGAGACCAAGACAGGGCTAGGTGGGCACTTTTTTTTACTCTCTCGGTTTGTGTTTCATATCACTTATAGGCCTGGATCAAGAACACAGAAACCAGATGCTCTTTCGCGGATGTTCGAAGAGACCAAAGGAGCCCCCCACAAACCCGACACCATCCTGTCGTCTGGTAATTTTTTGGCATTACAGACGGAGCTACGTTCCCAACTACAGGCAGCATCCATAGGGGCTCCAAATGTTCCAGGTGTGCCACTACAGAATAGAGATGGATTATGGTGAAAGGAGAACGAATCTTGGTACCTGACGAATCTCGCACCACGGTCTTGGGCCATTGCCATGACCATCCCCTGGCTGGGCACTTCGGGGCCCGGAAGACGTTGGAACTTCTACAACGTATGTTCTGGTGGCCCAGCATGTCCAAAGATTGCGAGGCTTACGTAAAGACCTGCGCGGTCTGTCAAAGGAATAAGCCTTCCAGGAACAAGGCTTGGGGGCTCCTGCGACCCTTACCCATACCTAACAGACCGTGGGAAATGATTTCGATGGATTTCATTGTGGAACTTCCTCCATCTCAAGACCATACCACCATTTTCGTGATTGTGGACCGCCTATCCAAGATGGCCCACTTCTTGCCTCTCAAAAACACACCATCCGCTGCGGAGACGGCGCAAATCTTTGTGAGAGAGGTGGTGAGACTCCATGGAATTCCTAAGGATATAGTTTCGGATAGGGGTGCCCAGTTCACCTCCAAATTTTGGAAAGCACTATGCGAGACGTTGGAAATCAAGTTATCTCTCTCCTCGGCATATCACCCACAGACCAATGGACAGACCGAACGTACAAACCAGACCTTGGAACAATATCTCCGATGTTACACATCATTTCTCCAGGACGATTGGCTAACTCTTTTACCACTGGCCGAATTTGCTTACAACAATGCTAGCCACTCGACTACTCAGCAATCCCCATTTTTTGCCAATTACGGCTTCCACCCGACCTTTTTACCTGACACAATTCCTGAAAGTTCGGTGCCAGCTACACAGGACATGTTGCACTTCCTTTCTGCAAACAATAAGATCTTACAAGAAGCGATCCTGAAGGCCCAGGAGGGCAGTAAGAAAGCCTTTGACAAAAGGAGAAGAGGGGAGCTTATGTTACACCCAGGGGACAAGGTCTGGTTGGCCACAACAAACCTTAAGATGATATGTCCATCGCGGAAATTGGGACCGAGATTTATGGGCCCATTCCAGGTAAAGAGGAAGGTTAACGAAGTGGCGTACGAGCTCGTACTCCCGGAATCCTTTAGAATACACCCGGTATTTCATGTATCGCTGTTGAAACCCGCGGCACCGGACCCATTCCCGAACCGGAGATCTAGGCCTCCTGACGCCATAAACGTTGATGGGGAGGAGGAGTTCGAAATTGAGACTATTCTAGACTGTAGGAAGAGGGGGGGTCAGACTCAGTTTCTCATTAAGTGGAGAGGGTATGGTCCAGAGGAGAACTCATGGGAAACCTCCCAGAACATTCATGCCTCTAGATTGATTCGGGATTTTTTTGACAACCACCCACGCAAGAGAGAACTGTTGGGCATCCGGCGGCTGCCCGTAGGGGGGGGGCAATGTCAGGATCCGGGTGTTCTGCGGCATCGCGTCGGGCGGCGCATGCGCAGAACACCCACTCTCTCTACCCGGCGGGCGGTAGGACCTGGCCGCGCATGGCAGCGGCGGGGTTCGCGCATGCGCACTCGGGATCACGGACGCGCGCCTGGCACCAATGACAGCGGGAGGCGGGCTATTTAAACGCAGGAACAGGTATGTTAGTTGCCGTTTGGTCTTGTATCCTGTGTCCTGTATCCTGTTCCTGTGTTGCTGTATACTCCGTTGCCGACCTCTGCTTGTTCCTGATCCTGCTCTCTCCTGTTTGACCCCTGGCTTGCCTGACTACTCTTCTGTCTGATCCCTGGTACTGTATTTGCCCGCATCCTGCTGAACCTGGCTTGTGACCTGACCATTCTTAGCTCGCTCCTCTGTACCTCGCTGCCCGCATAATACCGACCGGCCTGTCTGACCACGCATACCGTATCCATCCATCCATCCATCCATCCATCCGGTTTGGGTCAGACCTGTGTATCTGTCTGCCTCTTCCAAATAGATTCCGTTTCCTGCACTCCCCTGTCAGTATTCTCTACCACCGCAGGACGCACTCGGGGGTCGCGACCTGGTTTCAGTCTGCACCAAGTCCATCCCCACACCATCAGGGGCCCTGGTGAATAGCAGGCTGGGACTTAGACCCCGCGCCCCTGGGAGCGTCCGTGCGGTGGGCTGCTAGAGACTCTGCCAGGCGGCTTAAACACAGGATGCAGGGCCCAGGACAAACACACACCAAGGCAGAGTCTGTGGGTCTGGCCATCCCTTAAATACCCCAGCATAATCAGTTACAGGTGTTAACTGGCTGCAAAGTTGAGTCTCCGATTGCTGGGAACACCCGCTGGCCAGCCCTAGTACTGCAGATCAAAAGGCAGGTGAGTCCCACCATAGCTGGCCAGTCCATTCCTGACAGTACCCCCCCCCCTCAAGGAGCGGCCTCAGGACGCTCCAAACAGTCCTAGCTGGGAAAAATGTTCCACCACGCCCGGGTCTGGTAACTGGTGGGATATCAAAGACTGGCACACCTGGGCAGGACGGCAGAGGTACAGCGGTGCAGTATAAACTCGGGCTGGACTCCGGGCAGAGGCACATCGGGCTGGACTCCGGGCAGAGGCACTTCCGGGCAGAGGCACACACCGGGCCGGACTCCGGGCAGAGGCACACCGGGCCGGACTCCGGGCAGAGGCACACCGGGCCGGACTCCGGGCAGAGGCACACCGGGCCGGACTCCGGGCAGAGGCACACGGGGCCGGACTCCGGGCAGAGGCACATCGGGCCGGACTCCGGGCAGAGGCACATCGGGCCGGACTCCGGGCAGAGGCACATCGGGCCGGACTCCGGGCAGAGAGCACATCGGGCCGGACTCCGGGCCGGGCAGAGGCACATCGGGCCGGACTCCGGGCAGAGGCACATCGGGCCGGACTCCGGGCAGAGGCACATCGGGGCCGGACTCCGGGCAGAGGCACATCGGGCCGGACTCCGGGCAGAGAGGCACATCGGGCCGGACTCCGGGCAGAGGCACATCGGGCCGGACTCCGGGCAGAGGCACATCGGGCAGGACTCCGGGCAGAGGCACATCGGGCAGGACTCCGGGCAGAGGCACATCGGGCAGGACTCCGGGCAGAGGCACATCGGGCAGGACTCCGGGCAGAGGCACATCGGGCAGGACTCCGGGCAGAGGCACATCGGGCAGGACTCCGGGCAGAGGCAGAGGCACATCGGGCAGAGGCACATCGGGCAGAGGCACATCGGGCAGAGGCCATCGGGACGGACTCGGGCAGAGGCACATCGGGCCGGACTCCGGGCAGAGGCACATCGGGCCGGACTCCGGGCAGAGGCACATCGGGCCGGACTCCCGGGCAGAGGCACATCGGGCCGGACTCCGGGCAGAGGCACATCGGGCCGGACTCCGGGCAGAGGCACATCGGGCCGGACTCCGGGCAGAGGCACATCGGGCCGGACTCCGGGCAGAGGCACACACTCGGGCAGGGCACATCGGGCCGGACTCCGGGCAGAGGCACATCGGGCCGGACTCCGGGCAGAGGCACATCGGGCCGGACTCCGGGCAGAGGCACATCGGGCCGGACTCCGGGCAGAGGCACATCGGGCCGGACTCCGGGCAGAGGCACATCGGGCAGGACTCCGGGCAGAGGCACATCGGGCAGGACTCCGGGCAGAGGCACATCGGGCAGGACTCCGGGCAGAGGCACATCGGGCAGGACTCCGGGCAGAGGCACATCGGGCAGGACTCCGGGCAGAGGAACATCGGGCAGGACCCCGGGCAGAGGCACATCGGGCAGGACCCCGGGCAGAGGCACATCGGGCAGGACCCCGGGCAGAGGCACATCGGGCAGGACCCCGGGCAGAGGCACATCGGGCTACCAGGCGAAGCAGCAGGCAGCGGGCCACCAGGCGGAGCGACAGGCACCGGGCCCCCGGGCGGGGCGACAGGCACCGGGCCCCCGGGCGGGGCGACAGGCACCGGGCCCCCGGGCGGGGCGACAGGCACCGGACCCCCAGGCGGGGCGACAGGCCTCGGACCCCCAGGCGGAGCGGCGGGCGCCGGACCCCCAGGCGGAACTACAGGTCTCGGGCCCTCAGGCGGAGCGACAGGCATCGGACCCCCAGGCGGGGCGACAGGCATCGGACCCCCAGGCGGGGCGACAGGCATCGGACCCCCAGGCGGGGCGACAGGCATCGGACCCCCAGGCGGGGCGACAGGCATCGGACCCCCAGGCGGGGCGACAGGCATCGGACCTCCAGCGGGGCGACAGGCATCGGACCCCCAGGCGGGGCGACAGGCATCGGACCCCCAGGCGGGGCGACAGGCATCGGACCCCCAGGCGGGGCGACAGGCATCGGACCCCCAGGCGGGGCGACAGGCCTCGGACCCCCAGACGGAGCGGCGGGCGCCGGACCCCCAGGCGGAACTACAGGTCTCGGGCCCTCAGGCGGAGCGGCGGGCGCCGGACCCCCAGATGGAGCGACAGGTCTTGGGCCCTCAGGCGGAGCAACAGGTCTCGGGGGCCCCCAGACGAAGCGGCGGGCACCGAGTCACCAGGCACGACAGTGGGCACCGAGTCGTCTGGCAAGACTGCGGGCACCGAGTCAACTGGCGAAACAGCGGGCACCGAGTCAACTGGCGGAACAGCGGGCATCGAGTCGTCTGGCAAGACTGCGGGCACCGAGTCGTCTGGCAAGACTGCGGGCACCGAGTCGTCTGGCAAGACTGCGGGCACCGAGTCGTCTGGCAAGACTGCGGGCACCGAGTCGTCTGGCAAGACTGCGGGCACCGAGTCGTCTGGCAAGATTGCGGGCACAGAGTCCTCTGGCAAGACTGCGGGCACCGGATCAGGTACCGGATCATCTGGATCAACAGCGGGCATCGAGTCAACTGGCCTAATAGGATCGTCGGGCTGGATCAGTTCATCATGCTGAGTAGCGGCATCAGGCTGAATGCAGGCATCAGGCTGAGGAGAGGCTTCAGGCTGAGGAGAGGCTTCAGGCTGAGGAGAGGCCTCAGGCTGAGGAGAGGCCTCAGGCTGAGAGAGGCCTCAGGCTGAGGAGAGGCCTCAGGCTGAGGAGAGGCCTCAGGCTGAGGAGAGGCCTCAGGCTGAGGAGAGGCCTCAGGCTGAGGAGAGGCCTCAGGCTGAGGAGAGGCAGCCGGCTGAAGAGAGGCATCCGGCTGAAGAGAGGCATCCGGCTGAAGAGAGGCATCCGGCTGAAGAGAGGCATCCGGCTGAAGAGAGGCATCCGGCTGAAGAGAGGCATCCGGCTGAGTAGAGGCTTCAGGCTGAGTCACGGAAGGCAGGTTCACCGGTTTGGATACTGGCAGGATGGTATTGGTTTGAAAGAATTTTCGCTTTTTTCTGGTTTTAACTACTGGAGCACTGCAAGTAAACGCAGGTCTGCAAACGAATGGAGCAGCTGGAGACAGAGAAAAACTGGAGGATGGAACAGGAGAGGGAGCAGTTGCTACAGAGGGCTTTTTTACAGGGTTAAAGGCAGGATAGGTGCAGCGAGTGGGAACAGGGTACTGACATGCGGTAGATAGCCAAGTATACTGGGCTGTAACTGGAGGAGCTGGTGGGAATACAGGAGTAGAGTTAGAAGCAGGACTGGGTTTTTGTAAGCTGACTGAGGCTGGGTGCAACAAGTCTGTCCATGTCTGCAGTATGGGTTGAACAAAGCTGAGCTTACACAAAGCCTGTCTGGTCAATGACTGCACTGCGTTTATACAATCTCTTAGTGTCTGTGGTGAACATGTGGAATAACGCTCCAGAAAGTAACCCACATCATCCTCTAATAACCACACCAGGGACTCAACCTGGTCTGCACTAAATGGTGGCAAACATTCATCCCTGCATTCGGGGGAACCAGATGAAACCAACTCAACACAAACCTGAATCAATGGCTGCACCATAGAGAAATCTGTGCCCTGATCTACTAGAACATGAGCGAGCCGTATACATTCTAGCAGTTCATCCCGGGGATACTCCTTCAGAGTCTGATAAGCATACTCTCTGTCATCAAGCACTAGCAGAGATAAATACTCAACCTCATCCAGATCCATCCTTCCCATCAACAAGCCAAGATGGCTTCCCTGTGCAGCCACTTCTGGTCAGGATTGGCCTTGGTGTAATGTCAGGGCTCCCAGGTGTGACCAGAGATGTGTGACTGACGCAGGGAAACGCAGACCTCAGATATGTTATAAACAATATAATTTATTAACACTAACAATACAAACATAAACGCAGTGCAATACTAAAACATAATACAGTGCAAACAAACCAAACCAAACCACCCACAGATAACAGTACATACAAGCAAGCGTCATCAGGCAGGCCGGGTCAATATCAATAGGGCAGGTAGGTACAGGGGGAGCAAGCGGAGATTGGTCAGGGTCACAAGCCAGGGATCAGAACAGGTAGCAAGCAGCGTGGTACAGAGGGTCAGACAGAGGGATGGTCAGGAGCGAGCCGGGATCAGAGCAGGAGAAGTCAGCAGCGGTTCAGAAACAGGATGCAGGACAGAAACAGGATGCAGGGCCCAGGACAAACACACACCAAGGCAGAGTCTGTGGGTCTGGCCATCCCTTAAATACCCCAGCATAATCAGTTACAGGTGTTAGCTGGCTGCAAAGTTGAGTCTCTGATTGCTGGGAACACCCGCTGGCCAGCCCTAGTACTGCAGATCAAAAGGCAGGTGAGTCCCACCATAGCTGGCCAGTCCATTCCTGACGAGGAGTTTTGATTCTGGGGTGATCTCAATGTCACACTGGACTCTCCTCTGGATGTGTCACAAACAGCATCCCACCTGTCTTATGTTTTCCTGTGTCTGTTCAAATGCCTCCTTGGGGCAGACTTGCTGGTGGATGTTTCGGGGGCCTTCCATAATAGTGATAGAGAGTACACAGTCCTTTCGGCGGCGCACCAATCTTGCTCTCAATTTGACTATTTCTTCCTACACCAATCTGATGTGCTCAAGGACTATTCTGATGAGATCTGCACTTTTTCCCTGTCTGATCACGCTCCTGTAATCATGGAGATGAAACCTTACCTTGGCCACTCTTAGAACTTGACACTGGAAAGTTATTAATTCACTCTTGCAAGAGGAAGTAGTATGCAATTTTGTTGCCACAGAAATTCCCACATTCTTCCAACTGAACGTGCATCCATATGCTCTGCTACCTAAGCTCTTGGAAGCGCACAAGTGTTACATCTGGGGGGGTCCTGATTTCACAAGGCACTCGGTTAAAAAAAAAAGTGATGGACAGAGGAAAAAGAGGACATTGCTTACCCAGATACGGTCCCTAGAACATGCTCATAAACAGTCATTAGCAGCCACAACCCTGCAGGAGCTTTAGCACTTGCTAAACTTTTGTCATATAAAAAAAAGCCAATTTCATCACGGTCTGAAAGACCTTTTACAAATGGTGCAACAAACCCGGTAAATTATTGGTGAAGCCATTGAGAGATGTCAGACTGAAATCGCATATCCCTTGTATAGATTCTGGTAAAGGTAAATTAGTTTACGCCACTCAACAAATAGCGGTTTTAAAGATTACTACTGTACAGTGCTTTATAGAACTAGTTTGCCTGGGTGTCCTCCCTCCTGAAGGAAGAGAAAAGGGTCCAAATTACTCAATATTTAGCTGGTTCAGGTTCACCCAGGCTTTAAAATAAGGCAGAACAAGCTTTAGATAAACCAATCTACCCCAAGGAATTCATTGTGGTTTTGAAAGCATCAAAGCCAAACAAGGCGCTAGATCCCGATGGCTTCTCGTTGGCATATTACCAGACTTTTCTTCCCTTTTGACTCAACCGTTCCTGACAGCATTTAACTCTCTTCAGGATGGCCACTCCTTCCCTTTGGACACCCTCAGAGCTTTAATCATGGTTATTCCCAAAGAAGGAAAAGATGCCCCAAAGTGCTCTAGTTATTGGCCTATTTCGCTCTTGAACAATTATATTTAACTCTTTGCTAAAATATTGGCCAACAGACTGCTGCCATGTATAGGACAGATTATTCACAATAACTTCGTTCCAGACCAAGAGGCTAAAGATAATACGACCTGAGCCCTTAATGCCATCCACTTGGCTCATCATAAGAATATCCCCACACTGCTTCTACCAACGCATTCGATAGAGTGGATTTGGGTTTTATGCAGCCAGTCCAACAGCATATCGGCCTTGGCAACTTTATGACCTGGTTAATGTACCACGTAAAAGTCAACAACGGAGTGTCTGAAGAGTTTCATTTGAGCAATGGAATATGCCTGGGATGTTCACTTTTTCCTCTTACCTTACTCTTTTCCCTAGAACCACTCCTGTGTCATATACAGTCTAATCCTAATGTCTCTGGCCTTCTGTCTCAGTGTCAAGTTCTAAGAGTGGCCAAGGTAAAGTTCATCTCAATGATCACAGGAGCGTGATCAGACAGGGAAAAAGTGCAGATCTCATCAAAATAGGCCTTGAGCCCATCAGATTGGTGTAAGAAGAGTAGGAAGAAATAGTCAATTTGAGAGCAAGATTGGCGCGCCTCCGAAAGGACTGTGTACTCTCTATCACTATTATGGAAGACCCCCGAAACATCCACCAGCAAGTCTGCCCCAAGGAGGCATTTGAACTGACGCAGGAAAATATAAGACAGGTGGGGAGGCTGTTCGTGACACATCCAGAAGAGAGTACAGTGTGACATTGAGATCACCGCCCAGAATCAAAACTCCTTCTGAAAAGCTAGAAAGTATTATTTGGTTGGTAATGTGGGTGTATACATTGCCTAAAATCATTAGGACCACAAGAGACCCCTTCAAGAGGAGAAAACAGCATTGGGGAATCCTTGAATTCAAGTTCAAGTTCTGATAATAGGGCGTTCTTCACATACTACCTAAACATCTGAGAGGAGGTTGAAGTGTGTTCCCAACTTGTTCAGTTGTGGTATTGCTCACAGTCATACAGCTGAGGGATCAATGTAATGTCTCTAGTCTGATACACACAGCCTCACTAGATTTCTGTTGTACTTTTTGTCATACAAGTAGCTCTATGATTATGCACATTCTCTTGTATTACTAAGGTGTACTGTAGAACTGTCTGTAATTTAACTTTGCAAAATGAAAATAAAGAATTTTTTTTTTTTTAAAAAACCTTTGTTTGAAGAGATTAAAATTGCATTTTGAGAGATAGAGTTTATTTTTACTTGTGTACACACAAATACTTTTGCAAATACATGCAAAATAAAAGCAAGATATTTCTGCCAGGAATACTGATGTTCAAACATCAATACTGTGTGCAATTACCCTTATATATTCTGAATTAAAATATGGCATTAGGAAACAATATTTCTGTTGCAGATTAAATTACATTCTCCACTTACAATTGCTGTGCAGGAAAAAGTGAAAAAATGGTGTTCTTAAATTTTTTTTTTCAGCATCGGCTTCTTTTTTTTGGCTCCAGGCATTCCATCACATGACATCTCAGAGCCTAAAGGAAGTTTGGGCTGGAAGACTGAAAGACTTCCCTTTCCTGGGCACTGTCACTGAGATTATAAAGTTTGAACAGGAAACTATATAATGCCCAGCATGTGTCACTGACTGTGGGTCCCGTTTGATGAAGATTCTCCACTTCAGTTCCAGCCCAGTACCCTCCCTTCCCCTACCTTCAACTGTGTGCTTTGGATTTCCTTTGCAGAAA